ATGGTAGATACAACTTAAAAGTGCGTGTCCAAGGAAAAGACAAAACTACCAGAAGAATCCACAGGCAAAATCATGCTTTCTATGTACGTGGTTATGGTAAGATTCACTATAAACTAGCATTGCTTCTTCGGAAAAAAGCAGAGGAGTAGCGTTAACGTAGAATGGAGTCCACAGTGGAGATGAGAATTCTTGATGGGTAAAGCTGATGTTGTCAGGAGAACAAAGATTTCTCCTTGCCAGTCCCTTCGCCATAATTGCGTGATGTAGGCCTTGACTGAACAAGGAGAGTGAAGCCTCACACACATTCACACACATACACACGTCCCTACCTTTTCACCTGCAATATTCTAAACAGATGTCTGCCTGCCAATGGAGTGCACTGCCTGAAGGTGTAGTTTTGAAAAATATTATTCTGGCATCCCTCTCTGGGTATCATAAGGCATCCTCAATTTGCATCTCAATGTTTTCCAGTACTGACCATCTGCCAGCAGCATGGAATCTACTGGTGGAACTGCTTCCTCTCCCTCTTTTTTTCCCTTCTCCTGCAGCTGCACACACAGCCTGCCATGCCCTCCTTTTACTTCCCCGCCACTGCCCTCTCCAATTTCATTCTCCCTCCAGTTCTGGCAGTGATGCCCTGTGGCCCCCTCTCCTTCTTTTTCCCTGCAGCAGCAGCACCAGCAATTTCCAGGACTGCCAAGTCCTTCCTCTTCTAAAGGGCCCCTAAAAGCTGAGCATTTGCTGTTCTGTATTTTCCCCTCCTCCCTACTCTGGAGGTGATGGTGATGGTTATGCTACAAAAATTCTTCATTTAGGATCATGGCATGATAAAAATAGTGGAAAAAACAAGAGGGAAAACAAGTGCTTCAGTGTTCTGCCTATTGGTCTGAAGAAAAGAAGCGAAAGATCAAAGAAAGGGAATTATATCTGGATACTAACTGTGCAAAGCTCATACTGCAAAGCCCCAACCTTTTTGGCACCAGGGACCATTTTCATGGAAGACAATTTTTCCCTGCACCAGCAAGTGGGGATGGTTTCAGGATGATTCAAGCACCTTACATTTACTGTGCACTTTATTTCTATTATTATTACAGTGTAATATAGAATTATACAACTCACCATAATGCAGAATCAGTGGGAGCCCTGAACTCGTTTTCCTGCAACTGGAGAGTCCCATCTGGAGGTGATGGGAGACCGTGACACCCGAAGTCTCTGCTAATGATAATCTGTATTTGCAGCCATTCCCCAGTGCTAGCATCACTGCCTCAGCTCCACCTTAGACCATCCAGCATGGGATTCTCATAAGGAGAGCGCAACCCTTGCATGTGCAGCATACAGTAGAGTTTCCACTCTCATTCACCCAGACAGGCAAGGTCGCGTGAGTCTTTGAGTCTGCTGGGTGGAGGGAAACATGATGCCATACGCACTTCACTTGTCCGACACTCCCGTGACGGAGGGCGCGCCGTGCAGCCACTGCCTCGGCCACCCAGCCAGCTCCCACGCGGGAGGGGACGCATTGGGGAGGTTCAGCAGCGTAGTGGTTGCAGTTATGGACTGGGACTTGGGGCAACCAGCTTCTAGTCCACACTTGCCTGTGAAGTTCACTGACTGAGCTTGGCCCACCCACTGATTCTCAACCTAGCCTACCACACAAGGTTGGTGTGAAGATAACATAGAGAGGATCATGTAAGCTCCCTGTGCCTTGTACGTAGGGGGGGAAATATACAAACTTAGGCCAACCACCTTTTCTCTCAACCACCGGATAGCTTGCATTGCAAGTCCTATCATCCCGGTAATCCATCCATTTGGAAGGTCGCCAAGCTAACCTAACTTACAGGGTCATTGAGTGTAAAATGTGGTGGGTGCAAGCTGGGATCGTGGGAAAAGAAAGACAGCCATGCCAGCTGCCTGCTACTCCTTGTGAGGAAAGACGGCTTTAAGTGTCTCATCACTTTGCCTGTATTCAGAGCTGCCCTGGCCAAAGAAGGCCACACCTGCCTCACCTGGAGGTGCAGATAGTCAGCCTTCCTGCCTCCTCTTCCTATCCAATCCAGCTCACACGCACCCACAGCGAATACCTGACCACAACCAGCTCAGATCCTTCTGCTGTCGCATAATGACCAATACATCACCTATCAATGGCCAGGCGTTTAAACTGGAAAAAAATGGATAGGCTCATCCCACTCCCTCACCTCAACCCACCTGCTCCCATCGGTCATTCCACCTGTTTTATTGGAACGTCTGCCCCGTGCCCGAGCCACAGTCCACACATGCTATTGGATACTGTTGGCTGAGGGCAACTTGCAGCGTCATCTCACTAGAGAATCAAGGCATCTGTCAGAGGAGCTTTAGCCCATTTGAAAAAGATTAGATTGGGTTGGTCAGAGAGCTCTTGACGTCCCACCTCCTTCTCTTGTTCCTTGGCTCTGCAGCAGCCTGCGAGCGGAAGGAGGAGGAGAATTGTAGAGGTTACGCCCACAGATGACGCTTCACTTGCTTGCCCACTGTTCACCTCCTGCTCTGCAGCCCTTTTCCTAAAAGGCCGTGGACAGGTATCAGTTCATGGCCCATGGGTTGGGGGCCCCTGCTGTACACCAAATGAAGAAATGCAGAAGCTGCAGTTGAATATAAACATAGGAAAAGGAGGAACCCATACTCCAGATTAGCAAGGGAAACAATGATGATTGCATATTTGTCTGAGTATAGAACAACAGGACAACAAGAAAGTTTGGAGGGCTGTTGTTACATTCATTCATTCATTCATTCATTCAAAAGGTCTAGACTGTCCCATTATCGAAGTCTCGGGATGGTTTCACAATACAAAACGTAAAAAATTTAAAACACATGTTGTGACCTGTTTAATTTCATAGGTGAAATAAAAATGAATGCACAAAGACCAGAGCCAAGTGTGGATGACATGGAAGCCCAGTTGGGAAGATTCAGCAGGACTGCATCAGGGGGTTCTTTTGTCATGTCAGGAGTTCCAGATGTCCCCACAGATGTCTTCCCACCCTGCCAAATCACTGACCTGGAGGTGCAGCTCAATGACGACGATCAGTTCCTTCTATCATGGACAGCCCCTGGGAATGACTACGATCTAGGACAGGGTAAGTGCTAAGCTCTTATTAACCGTATGCAGTTATCCAGCATTCCACCTCAGAGGGGCCAACTGGAACATTTGTTACTCAAGCTGAAAGGGTTGGGCACCTGCTTCACCTTCAGCAACACTCTCTCCCTGAAGCCCATAAAAGTAGCATTACCTTGTTGAGATAGAGGAGGCCCACCCTCCACACGACCAGGCCTGGCATTAGCCTTTGCCCTGGGTGGGGCAGGCAACATGTGGCCCGCCGCCCACAAATGGCTTCCCCCAGGCATGCCTGCCGTGAGGCCTGCTCCCTTGGCATCCCTTCTTCTGAGTCTCCCTTGTCATTGCCCCTCACACCAGCCCATCGAGGGCAACACAACCGCCATTTGTGTGCCTGACATGCAGAAAAGGTGCGCATTCAAGAGAGCTGGCAGGGCATCTGCTCCCCTCCTCCCCTGCACTGCTGCCTGGACCAGAGTGAGAGGCGGGCAAACAAGCAGGTCACCATGACGACCTGCAGGGGGATCTTGTCATTGGGCCCTTATTGGTGGTTTGGGCTAAACAGAAGTGTGAAATCTGCTCAGGGGGATCTGGGTCAGCCTTAGTTTGTTTCTGGGCTGGGCACCTTAATTTCTAATGTGCTGTTTGCTTCTAATTTCGCAGTGGAAAGATATGAAATAAAAATGAGTGAAAATCCCTTGCAGTTAAGAGATGCTACTTTTCCTGATGCCATCTCTGTGAGCACTTCTGGACTGATACCTGCAGATGCGGGGGTGAAGCAATCCTTTCAGTATAAGCCGGAAAACTTCGGAAAGGAAAATGGCACCTCGATCTACTTTGCCATCCGAGCCATTGATAACAGCAGCAATGCTGGTGAAGTATCTAACATAGCAAAGGCAGTGGTGCTTCTTTCATTAGCCCCTAATGAAGAAAGCAGCAATCATGTGTTAAACACAGTTACCTTAATTGTGATCATCGCATGTATTGCTGCAGTTATCATTTGTGCTATTATAACAATTTGTGTTGTACAGAAGCGAAGAAATGTACGTCCTCGAACAGGAATGTAATATTTATAAATAGGAGAACCAGAAATTTATACATCAGAGAGAGAAATGAATATAGCCGGTGCTATTTAGGAACTTGAAGTGTTAACATAATTTCTTACTGTGTGTCAAGTATCCATCTCTAAATGGTAACACACATGTACAGACACCACATTTTGAGATGGCATTTTTATGCATTGAAATCCCATTCATATTATTTGTAGCAGATTAATCAAAACCAAGATACTGGTACTTGATGGCTAGATTTATTATTTGTTTTCAAAAGAAAGGAAGTTCAGGATTGTTGTGATTTGCAAATTGGACCTTATGGTCAATTTAACAAGTGTGTGAGGGGAGATGATTGCTTCAGCACAGAAGAATTTCAGTCCTCGAGGCAGTAGTGAGAGCTGAGAAGGTTTCCTCCTTTGGTATTCCACATATGCTTTGGGGTCAAGCTAAATCTGACAATGTATGATCCAGTTATTTAAAACTTGGGAACACTTTAATCTTATATATGCAAAGAATGGATTCCAATTGCCTTTTAAAGAGGAACATGGGTGTGTTGATGAGGGCCCTCATCCTCCAGCCATTGACGTTCAACATTTCTCTGCAGTCCGTCTATCCAGACACTTTTCTCCTTTGCTCAGTTCGAATCTTGAGGGCGCACAGCTGGAAGGAAACAGATTTAGGGAGAGCCCACATGTGGCAAAAACAGGACACCTCTCCCACCCATTTTGTGCATATATCAGGCAGACATGGAATTAAACAAACTGGTCTCACAGTGTCACAGCTAGTTTGGTCATTTAAAATCTCAGGAAACCTTTCAGAGGCTCAAATGCATCACTCTGGGCAATGGGAGGCCATTTAAGTCAAATTCTCTTCCTAGGATTTGAGAATAGGTGGGTATGTGTTATTGCTGTTTTAAGACACAGGATTATTGCTTCCTGGTTTTTCACTTAGTACAGGTTTTAGAGCTGAATAAATGAAACTAAATCTCCAATGGTGTTGATTTTCTTGTGCAAATTCACTGCCAATAGAGGCCTTTTGGGCAAACTGGAATTATGCTGTTCAGTTCTTGTTTCTGCTGTTGGAGGGCAGAATCACACTTTATAAATCCTATGGACAAGGGATAATAGAAGGCATTCCTGCCTTGGAACTACCCAATTTTTCTCTACTGCGTGCAAGAGCACCCTACATGCACTCGCACACGTGTCCTGATACCCCTACAAATTCTGTAAAAGAACTCAATATTCCTGGATTTGGCAAACCATTTCCTCTCATGAACCAACAGGGTAAGCCACATACTCATGTGTTTCCTTGGTCCTGTGAACAGCTGGGAAAGAAGTGGAATAAGGGTGGGGAAAGAGCAAGACAACTGTACAGGGAGGAAGTGTTGCTCTATAGCCTGTGAATTAAAAGGGAGCAAACTAGCCGAGGGACATCAGACTTTTGCACCCTTTGGAAAAGTGGGTGGTTCTTCCCAAATCATTATAAATCCAGCAATCAAAAAAGGCTTTCAGCTCCAGAAAGCTGGGAACTTGCAGCCTAGGGCTGATATGTCAACTGACATGCTCCGTGATCTGTGATGTGGTGCAATGCCACAAATGAGGTTTGCTTTCAGCCTACCCCATGCACCCTAGTTCTTTGAGGCCCAAATCCAGAGGCTAACAATGGAGTTCCTGGGATCGGTGAGGATGCTCCACACGTATCTAATATATATTTTTATTTTCATAAAATTAAACAATACAAATAAATACACAATTAAATTATACTAAGCCATAACAAGAAAAGTGTACCCAATATCAGGAACATTAGGCACTTATTAAATCATATACCATTTCAGGAAGCCCCTTTCAAAATTGCAATAAATCTTGTGAAGATTCAAACCCCTTCCCTTTTATTAGTACATACTTAACAAGTGGTCCCCACATATCATCAAAATTATTCTTATTTGTGAAGCACCTTTTCACTTTAATATCACATGTTAACTTATCATTAATAATTATATTCCAAAATTCTCTGTACCAATCAATTGATAATTTACTTTACTTTCCAACTCTTTGCTATGATTAATTTTGCAGCTGTTAGTAAGCTTGTTGCTAACTGTTTAATATTCCATCTCCATTGTTCCCTATTAAATATTGACATTAATGCAATTCCAGGATTTACTTCAACATTTAAACACATTATTTTTAATAATTTCTTTAAAAACCTCTTTCCAAAATTTCTTTACATATACACATGTCCACCACATATGGAAGAATTTGCCTACTCCCCAGCCACATCTCACACATAATTATTTAATTAATTTATTTATTTAACGTTTTTGTATGCCGTCCCCTTGCTATATAGCCTCGGGACAGCTCACACAAATAAATAAATATAATACAAATACAGTTAAAACCCGGAAACACCCCAGCTGCACAATTAAAACCTATAAATATTAAACATTATTAAAATATTGTTTGAATAAAAAGGTCTTAGCCTGACGCCAAAAAACAAATAACGACGGCGCCAGGCAGACCTCTCTGGGGAGCGCATTCCATAGATGGGGCGCCACCGCAGAGAAAGCCCTCCTCTGGGTGCTCTGCTTCCTGATGTCTCTTCCAGAGGGCTCCCGGAGGAGGGCCTCTGCTGCCGATTTCAAGGGGCGGGAGGGCAAATATGGATGCAGGCGTTCCTTTAGGTGTCCAGGTCCCAAGCCATTAAGGGCTTTATAGGTGATTACCAACACCTTGAATTGAACCTGGACTTCGATGGGAAGCCAATGAAGCTGGTAGAGGACTGGGGTTATATGAGAACAATGCCCAGTCCCCATCAGCAACCTGGTTGCTCTATTTTGCACCATCTGAAGTATCCGGACTGTCTTCAAGGGCAGCCCCACGTAGAGCGCGTTACAGAAATTAGAGTATTTAATATCCGTATGATTCAATTTTACTGGGGTTAGGTACCATTTCCATACTAGTTTATAAAAAAATTCTTTATTCTTGCTGATATACATTTTAGCTTTTTCTTATGCTACATATTTTCCCAATCTTCATTACTAATATTCCTTTTTAAGTTAGTTACTATGATACTTTAAGAGGATCATATTGGTCCTCTTCTTCTAATATCTTATAAATTTTACTTACTGTCCATTTCATCTGCATATTATCTTGTTTTTCCTTTTCCATTATCATATCTTCAAATTTAGTGTAATCTCCACATTTACCTTTTTTTCTTTAACCAATCTTTAGTCCAACATTCTGAATCACATTAAACCAAGTTATGCTTCCCCTTTGAAAACCACCGTTATCTTTTCCTTATTATTCATTAGCTCTAACCAGGCTTTTAACTTAATAATTTGTTTATTCTTCAATATTTCTCCCAAACTTAAGGAGAAATTAAGAACACTGGGGCCCAGATAGTCTTCTCCCAAATCCTACCAATTAGAAACATAGAAACAGAAAGGGCCTCCCAGGCCATCTAGCCTGGCTGCTGGCTCCAGCTGGCTCCATTCCAGGGCCTGGAAAATAAATCTTATGATTACAGCCTGAAAAAACTGGCCCTGTTCAGCCTTAATAAAGGAAGACTATGAGGTGACATGACAGCACTCTACAGGTTCCTCAAACGCTGTCACAAAGATGAAGGAAAAGACCTCCTTTCACTCATCCCAGATTGTAGGACACGGAACAATGAACTTAAAGTACAGTACACCAGGTGCAGTCTAGACACAAGGAAAAATTTCATAGCTGAACCAGCTGCCAGGAAAGGTCGTGTGCTCTTCCACACTACAGACATTCAGGAAGACGCTAGACAGTTATCTGAGTGGGAAGGTAGAACTCCTACCAGCACCAGCAGAGGGTTTAACCCAAGGACCTTCTTGACACCTTCTGACCCTACTACTCTATGATTCTATGATTCTGTATCAAGTTGATGAAATAATATCTGATATATTCTCACTTGATTTGCCACATAGTACAGCTTTAAATTGGGAAATACCTAATTCCCCTATATTGTCTGTTTTATACCATCCTTGCTTTTTTATCTCCATTACAAAACTTGTTAATCGTATTTTACCATTATTTCAAATCTTTATCTATTATTTTAATCAGTAATATCATAAACAAAAAGTTTATCTTAGGTAAGATTTTCATTTTAACTACTGCTATTCTACCATACCATGATAATCCAATCTTCCTAAATCCATTCATTTCTCTTTCATAGTTTAGTTTATCAAAACTATTCTTTTTAAAATAGTCAATTTTTGTAATATTTATATCTAAGTACTTCAATAATTCTACCTATTTTAATTTCAAATTTGCTCAGAAAATTGACACCCACGAGGGGGAAAGGTGGACAGGAAGCAGAGGGGGGCAGTTGGAGGAGGAGGTTTCCTGGCAATATTTTCTGGCCTTTCAAGCAGTGCTGTCTGCTGCTGGCTTCTGCCACCGACATGCACAACTGTTTCCCTCACCCCTTAGATGCGAAGAGGCAAGTGCACAGAACAGAGTAAGAACATTTCAGGGTCAGCTCTGCTGCTGTCAAATTTATTTTTTTAATTAAATTTCTAACCTGTCCCATTAACCATATGGCTCCCAAATTGCTAACTGCCTTCACTCTCAGTTTAAGTTCACTCACTTACCAGGATGTAGGGGCAAAGGTTAGATAAGTTTGGTCATGGGAACCAGTTTAAAAGAATGATGCATTTGAAGTTCTGCCAAATTTCATTTTTACATGTTTCAAACAATTACCAATTGTTAAAACTTGAACCTAAATAAGATCACTGAGTTTTTTTATATGGGTTTCAGTTGACCACTGAATAATGTGCCATACCCAAACCTGAGCAGAGCTGCCCATTGGTGTTAATTTTGAGGAATGGCATCTGGGCATTATCTTCCACCATGTGCCAAGACATACTGTATTTCTATTCATAATAAAGTATTTATTTGTAAACATGCATCCCCCCTCTCTCTTCATATGCAAAATTTATGCAAATCTGTCCTGTTTTGGATTGATTCTCACACGGCCATCTTATTGGACTA